GGGGCGTGGCACACATCAGGATCGAACGGAGCGGATCGTGACAAATAAAGCCCTATTTCTTTAGTTAAGCTCCTGTGTTTGTGTTGCCTTACTGCTTGGTCCCTCACAGTAACTAATACTTGATTTGTGGTTAATTAATACATAGGTAATAGCATAATACTATATTATTTGTGTCACTTTAAGGAAAGTGTTACCAAAAAATTAACAACGACACCGACTGTTCAGTCATGAATGATTATTGATTTTTTTCTCCATATTGACAGCGGAACATTAGCATGTAGTTCCTGGTTCCGAGCTCCTGGAGTATCTTGACCAGGAACTTTTGTATTCCTGGCCACTGTCATATGGGGCACTAAGTGTCAAGTGCTCATTTTCGTGCACAAAATACATTCTGTGCCACAAAAAGCATTATTTAATGACAAAATCGAGTAATTCATCACTGCATTTTGTCCACAGAAAAACTAACTCCAGTTACATATTTTATCCACCAAACCATAAAGACTTCACATTCTTTCATGCACAGAAATCAAAAGAAATGTTTTATTTTGTAAACAGAACTGATAGCATCACTTTGCATTTCATGGACAGTAGAAAGTCATTTTAGGGTCAAAATGCATTTTGTGGATGACAGAAAGTCATTCTGTGCATGAAAATGCAGGCTACCCAGTGTGTCTGATCAGAACTATCGGGGACAGGATGAGACTACACAACAGTTAGTATATGCAGACACACCACCAGCTGGACAGGGGTATGAATTTCTTAAACTTGCGGTAGATCGCCTTAAAATAATATGTCAAAATGACAGAGGGCTTTCAGATTAAAAATATTAATTCCATTATGGTTTCAGTTGTCATTCATCATTATGGTTTCAGTTGTGTATATGATTTACACAAATTACTTTGCAAAGACATTGGTAATTATACGTATCTTGCAGTGTATAAGATGACAAAAAAATGAAACATTTTATGGCCAATGAACATACATGATTTTATTGGTTATAAAATTGAATTGAATTTCTAGTGATTGATTTTAGGCCATCAATTGTATAAAGTCTATTTTTGTCAAACTCAAATGGTACATATGATTCTTATTTAGTTTGTAATATATATAAGATAACAAAAATAAATAAATTTTAAAAGGCTTCTCAGGATTTATAATTTTGTGACATTGAGATTAAGCTGCTATTCATTGTGGTCTTGTGTAACCCTCCTTTAAAAAGTACTCACCTTCTGTTTTACACCTGGCTTTACAGGACAAATTATGTCATTTTATGTCATTCTGAAAGTGACATAAAGTGTAGAGTGACACTTATAACCTTTTATGTCAGTTGAATGAAAAAAGTGTCATAACACAACTTTATGTCAGAAAAAACCTATGACAGTCGGCACAGGTGATATGTCAACTTCACACAGGAGTTGCCAATGTCAGTATATACTGTACTACAAAAGATGGAACAAACCTTTATAAATGCTTTTGTTAAGATATGTCAGCTGTCATGAAGGGCTTATGTTGGTGTTGTCACGTTCACGTCCAGGGAGGAAGCGAGGAATAATGGGTAGGAGACGAGGATCAGCAAAGTAAGGGGTTTTAATGGGGTTTAAAACAACAAAAGGGATCAGACCAGGGAAAGACAGGGAAAACTATGCTCAAGACATAAACTAACAAGACACGAACTTGGCTAACATTAATGACAAGTCTGGCAAGTAAAGGTAAGACACGGACTTAAATACTAAAACTAATTAAGAAACACAAAACAGCTTGAGAGAAGCACAGATTCCACACATGGGTAATTAGGGCCGTGGCACACATGAGGAATGCAGGGCTGGGCGTGACAGGTGTCATATACCTGTCATAGAGCACCTTTAAGTAAACTTACCAAGATTTTATATCTCTTATCACTGTGGTAGGTTTCCTGCTACACGGCTCTGCTGGTCCTCTGACAGCCCGGCTGAGAGGAGCTTTACTGCTGCCCTGCTTCGTGGACAGACCCCTGCCTTTGGAGGAGCTGGAGGTGGACTGGAGAAGGACTGATTCAGACACCATCGTGCACCTATTCCAGGG